CCAGGGTTCAGAAAGATAGTCACTTACTCAAAGTGTACAGTGAGAGCCAGAGGCCAGACTTGGAGCAAAATTCTTCTGACTTCCCCAGCCACTGCTTCTTGATTATGCTACACTGGCCCCTCTTGGTGTCACTGTGGTTTTATTTATCGTCTTAACATGTTTCAGACTGATCCTTTATTAAGCTTGGTTTTTTTTTTCTGTGCACACGTAACTCCCTATTTCAGTGTATTCAGCACCCAAAAAGCCACACAGTGCCTATATTCCCAAAGACGGTCCTTCAGAACGAACCTAGTAAGAAATCAGGGTTCTCTTAGCCTATTTTCCCATACTTTGTTTAACTGAAACACTTGAATAAAATAGTACATCTTCAGTCCCTAATCATGAAAACAACCAGAAAGCCAACTTAAATGTCATGCTGTCTTAAGCTTACTCTGGAATTTGTACCTGTGTTTTTTTGTTTCTCCTTTCTGCCTTTTTGGACTTTGGGAAAGGACAGCTCCCTTAAGGTGGTGAAAGAGGATTGTGGAATTGAGCCATCGAGATAGCTGCAAACCAGTTCTAGAACAGACACCTTCAGGATTGATGAAATGTTTACTGTATCATTATTCACTTAGCCCTTTCAGTCCCACGAGCTATGGAAATAGGAAAAAAACCTTCGTACGTGTAGTCTTTATCTGACTGATTTATCTTGCCCTTCTTTAAACGTGTTCATTTAAGTAGCAGAAGAGGTTACATTATGTACTGTTGTGCTGACAGACTTGGGGATTTTTTTTTAACAAGACCATTTTTCATTATGAATTTGTGCTATGTGTCAGCACCTTTTTTTTTTTTTTTTGGTTTAAAAACAAAACATACAGACCATATTTCTGATCTTGACCCTCATTTTTAGATTTGGTGTAGAATCGTTCTGTACTTTTAATGAGGTGGTTCTTACTTCCTATTTCCAGAACTCAAACCAAATATAGACATACTATTCAAAACGTTTAAAACTTTCTTAACTGATAGGTTATTCTTCTAGGGGGATTTTCCCCTTGTCCTCCTGAAATAATCTTCTATGAATACTTGAATACAGAAAGATCAAGTTAAACGCTTATATTTTAGAAGCAGTAGCCCGTACTGAGGTTGCTTGCATTCACGAGGCGCTGTGGTTCTGTGAGTCTGACCTCCTGAAGTCGTGTGGTGAGAAACATCAGGCCCACAGGCGACTCACTCAGTGTCCATTTTGATTGAAGTCCATTATTAACTCAAGCCATCTGTAAAAAGTATCTCCCCGTAACATACAATTCCCTCTTCTTCATACTGCCTTTTATTTGGGAGACAAACTACTGATGTGTTACCTTGTTTCCTTTAATATAAAGATAATTAAGGAGGAAACCTTCCAAAAACATCTCGATTCACTCCACCCCTTTTTAAAAAATGGGGTGAATTACAGGCTGAAGTCTTAGTCCACCACAGAGTTGTAGTTATCTCAATGCAAATATCCTTATATTCAAAATAGAATTTTAATGGAATGAGTCATTTTTATGAGGGGGGAGACTCCGGGAGGGGGGAGAGATAGCTAGTAATTAAAATGGTCTTAAGGTAATTTGGGGTGGGGATGTTCCTACCACATTTAGACCTGAGTGATGTTTCTGCTTAAAACCCACTGCTCTGTGTGTGTGTGTGTACGTGTGTGTGTGTGTGTGTGTGTGTGTGTATAGTAGTCCCTCAAGGAGGAATTTGCTTTAAAAAAAAAAAACATATTCTCCCTGCTTCTGACTTTCATTCAGCATCCCCACTCAACCTATTCTAAGTTGTGAAATCTTCATTTTGTAAAATGGAAAACAAGCCCTGTTTTTGGTCTGGAAGCCACAGACGTCAGGGTGTGTTCTGTCACTGAAGCCATGATGGAAACAAACCTGCCCAGGTGGCGGAGGGGTCAGCTCCACACAGAATGAGCACCGTGTAGGAGCTGGGGACAAGGGAGTGTTGAGGCCCCCATCTTCTAGCTGATAGGTTTAGGGAAGGGACACAGCATCCTGTCCCCAGCAGTCATTCTTTAGGACCCTGGTCAGTTCCAGTGAAGTTTCCTTTCTGAGCGAGGTGAACACGTTCTTAATTCGTCTTTTTAGCACTGCAAAATTCAAGGCACACTCCAGGCCCCTCTGTATCATGTGCTTGCTCCGAGGTAGAATGTTGCTGGCTAAGATTCACGTCTGGGTCTTTCCAGGCCCAGAGGGAGAGCTATGACTTGGTCTTCCGCTTCCCATTACAAACAACCCCAGTTCCTACGCCCCTCCACGGTTACCTGGTCTTAAAGTTGCACCTCTTATGTCCTCTTTGAATAATGTCTCAGACGTGGATGTGAGATGAAGTTGTTTATTGTGTATTGGAGTACAGGCTGGGAATGGGTATAGATGATGAATAAGCTACACAATTCCTTCCAACCTCAAAATTGTATGATTTCGTGTCTCTGTTTATCCATATGTGTGAATTTGTATGTACCTTATGGCTCTGTGTAATAGGAACTTAAAATATTAGGGTTCTGTCCCCTTGTAAAGATAATCTAATATCGAGGCTCTTTTATTTGTTTGGGGCTTGAGGATATTCATAGACCCCTCTTCCACCACAGACCCTCTTTTTAATTGTTCTCCCGTCTTGCCTGCTGAATTGCATTTGTAGGGTGATGAATGGCAAGAGCTATTTCTAGCACTGCCTCGTAGCTTCCCCTGTGATGGGCCCATAGCAGTGCTCAGATAGGTGTTGGGTGGCTTATGTTTTCCACAAATTCATTTGTAGGAACAAGATTCTAGTTGACTTCTTTTTGAGCATGAGGAAATGTTAATGTGCTTCCTTAGTGTAAGATTGATAACTGAAGACCAAGAGGCTCGTAGGTTAAAGAATGGCTATTCGGAAGAAAACCCTGAGCTCAATGTAATGCTACCTGTTGGTAATCAAGCTCTGACTCCCGAGAGGCTGTCTGCAAGAGACTGTAATTTAAAACAAAGTTGATGAACCAGTTGAGTACCTTTCTTAAAATTACTGCTTTAAAGTGGATATGTTGAAAATATCAACTGCTAATTATTGGCTCACCAACAAATGACATTATTTGTTTTTCTTGTTTGTCATTTTAATATTATGGAATAATCAGTCAAATATGAATGCCAAGTGATTTGCGTGTCATAGAAGTCAATTCCATGAATTTTTCCAATTAATTAGGTTCAATAATGTATCATAAGCAATGAGCCTCTGAATTGCTAAGTCTGCTTCAGCTCTAATATCTGCTTTTATCTCAAAACTATTCTGAGGTACTCCTGTGCCCACTAGTTGTACTGCCAACAAATACCAATAACGACAAACTGTTATCGAAAGGGCAGATAAATGTAAATGAATGCAGAGGAGGAGGATGAAATGAACATCTGCTTTTTTCAGCTCTCTGCCAGAAATTCATAAAGGACCAAAAATAACACTCTAGCTCACCAACCTTGTTTCAACTTGTGTTAGGTATAGGAAATTTGCTTTTTTTCTGTCTTTCCAGTCGGGTTATGCTCCATTGGCTTGTATATTGCATACTAAATTGTTAGAAAAAAAATCATTGGTTGATAAGAAATGTACATGAGAAAGACTGGTCTGACACAGCCATGTAGGTGTGCTCAGTCTGTATCCGTTTTAAACAGGGGTTTAAATTCTTGATTTCATGGGTATCAGTGTGTATCATAACCAGAATTTTGGATTCCACTGTGGACATTTATTGATTGGAATATTTGGGCCTACTGTTTCAGGTACACAATTACATAGGAGCCACCAGGGATAATAAAAACTGGAAATAAATATTATCTTTTACCTCCCCTCTTGGTCCATTTCAGTAAGGTATTCAGTACGTAATTCATAGGCTGTTTTGGATGAGAAGAATATAAAAGTGGAAAAGCGAGTGAATAAAAGCCAAAACAAAACTAACTGCAAAATGTTGTAAAGGGCTCCTTCCAGAGGAGTTCTTCTGAATAGTGATGAATTGCTTCCTGATTCGTGGTTGGTAATTTTTTTTTACTCCGTTAAAGAAATTTACGATCAAGGAGGAACCAGCATAGTTAACATGTTTCTTTAGTAAGGCCCTACAAAGTCAAAATGTGTGATACATCCAGTCTGAGAAGGTCATTTCCTTAGATCTTAGAACCCACAGCTCTCCTCAGTATAAATTTCATTTCAGAGGAAGACTTTTGACCACTGTTGAGTAGAAGATGCTAGAGAGGAACAAAGTTACTTGGAAGACCTTTATTTGTTAAAGAGAATGTACAAGCTATGAAAAAAAAAAAGCCTCATCTGGAATGAAAAAAATATGATAATGTGTTTGGTTTCTGGTTCCTTAGGCCTTTGTGGAACAACCAAAGAGCGTTATTTTGGTTTCTGAGGTTAAAACTATTTTATTCCCCTCAAGTACACTGTGTTTATGGTTTGAGGGAGAAGGAGAAATAGGAAACTAAGAGCGGACTGAAAAGGTCAGATCTTGACGGTCCTATTCTGCAGTATCTGACTGTTACTCTAAAACAGAATAGTTACCCTCTCTGTTCTTCTAGCATAGAAAGTAATAATAGAAATAAAGGACCCTCAGTCACTGGAGAATAATCCTCTAGACTATTTTAATGCTTGGTTGAGTATTTGCTTATGATCTGGAACTTTAAAAGGTGGTCTTCCCTAAGGTGAAGCTCTTTGTTAATTATGTAGGCACCGTTAATGCCTGCTCTCCCTATCGTAATTTCATCATTGTTGGTTGAATTGCCACTTGACGATTCCATTTGTTGAAATAAAAAGATTGGTTAATATCTTACAGCTAAAGTAATTGTTTTGTATGTTTTACCCCCTTTAGGTTATTGGAGTGGTGAGTAAAGAATACATACCAAAGGGAACCCGTTTTGGACCTCTAATAGGTGAAATCTACAACAATGATACAGTTCCCAAGAACGCCAACAGGAAATATTTTTGGCGGGTAAGTAGGGAAAAATGTCCCAGACTCATTATGTATTACGGAAAAAAGTGGAGCTAGAATTGCTGGGTCACTTCCTTTTTCAACCTGTCCTGGGGCTCACCACAAGTATTCAGGGTCCCCATGGGCATAGGGAATTCTAAGCATGATGAAACTGGTTAAATGTCTGGTCCTGGAAACAGAGCCTATAGGTAGGTGGTTAGGGCTAGAGATATGGACTATATGTGAATCTTAATTTTTGCAATTCATTAGAGCTTTGTGATGAAAGGAAACAGTTTGCTGCTTGCTTCAAGGGAAGGCTCATTTGCATTTCTCTGCAAGGAAGTAGTAATGAGTCACCAAGCCTTAGATGTCGCCCCTTCTTGATTTCTTGCTGAGTTAACTCTAATTGAATGGAAGAGTAATCATAAATAAATTCTCTTGAAAATATAAGTGCCATTAAGGAAGGATGGGTGGAAGATGGCACTAGGGGAATGGAAATGGACCACAGGACTAGTCCTGTTGAAATGCATCTGCACCATAAAACTATTGGATTTGACAGTATGTAGGTCACTCCCATAGCAGAAGGACAATGCTTACGATCATCCAAGATGATAAGCTTTCCTATAACATCCAGCCAAAAAGTCTGGCCAATACAATTTCGCTTGGAATATCAGGGTTAGAACGGTGGACTAATTAGACAGAATCCTTGAGTAAAAAGATCCTGAATTAGGAGTGAGCAGAGAAAAAACCAGACTGCTTTCCATCTTCCCATAGCTCTCTCTAGGATATTCAGTTTCCTCAATTGAAAAATAGAGATATGCTTACTACATTTAAAAGTAATTTTTTTGTATATACTTGCCTAAAATGTACACGACTACTAGGGAACCATTATTTGAATTCTTTTAAGAAACAGCTGCATGTTAACAACAAAAATTGGATTATACTTACTTTGGTCAATATTTACCTAGAACGTTTATGTCTTTTGGACAACTATCTTTATAAAAGACTTCTGTTTGGGGATCATTCAGAAGCTATTCCTAAGAAACAAGATTTTTTATAATCCAGGAAGTTTGTGTTTTTAGAAATTTATTTTACTGTTTACCGAGCAAAAGAGAGGACTCAGAATTGTTCGCTAAGAATGGTGTGCTCACAATTTTTTATTTAATGACTATTCATGCTTAAAATATATTTACTACGTGACTTATAATGGGCAAAATGTAAATGAGGGCATTTTTGCCTTTATTGCCAATAAAGCCTTCTCAGAAATGAGCCATGGAGGTGTGTAGCTCTTGGCATTAAAGGTGTGAATGAAGACACTCCAGGGTAAGTCTCATTAATGCATGATCATTTTGAAAAAAGGCAAGAATACTCGAGACCCTCCTATCTCTGTCCCAGTGCCCTGGTACCTTAAAGATTGACTGTAAGTAAGTGAAATGCTTTCCTTGGGAGGATTTATTTGAATCAGTCTTTCACATGCAAAGGATACTGTAGGAGATAACTTCCCACATGTTGTTAAAAGCATCCTGATCTGGCTGGCAGGAATATGAACATCTGTTGTGAGGAAAGAAAAAGTTTCATGCAAATTACACAGTCAAAGAAGAGAAGGGATGTTCAAGTTGAGAAACCAGTGACATTTCTTGTAACTGTACTATGAGTCAGCACGTTTTTAATCTTCCTGATAATATATGGAAATGCAGTGAGGTGACAGGGAGCAGTGTTTATTTGACGTATGCCTTATTTTATTTTCTGGTGGGTGTGTGCGTGTGTGACTTCATGGCATCAACATTTCTGTTTTTAAACGAGTATACAGTAAATTGTAGTCCGAGGAAGGCTGACTGGAATCAGCATACCCGTAGCTTTAGAAAGCAGTTTCCGCCCAGCGAAGAGTGCAAGAGAGATGGAACCCCGTGTTCCTGGAAGTTTGCACATCAGAGTAAACAAACTTGATAGCAGAATTCACCCAGCCTTGTTCCATTTTCTCTTAACAAAACACACCGCAAAAGCTCTCACAAGCTGCTTTGATGAAGCCACATGTATTTCCCCCTTCACAATTTACAGGAAGTTACTCTTAAAAGAAAGTGATTCTGGTGTTTACTGCGCGTGTTAAAGGGACAGAGTTCCTTTTCGTTTCTGATAACGTTGGAGTGAAAGACAGCAACGATTTATAGACTGACATAGTCAGTATGTGACTAAGGATAAAGCAGTAACCTGCTGTCTGTCGGGTTAGAGCAAACTTTCTGCTACGAACAGTGCCCAACTACTTGGAGACCACAAGTTGCAGATAACCAGGTATTGATTATATGGAAATATCTTAAGTCTGAAGAAAAAGTGGTAGGTCTTAAAAAGAGGGAGAAAGAGAAACTTTCTGTGGAAGGGGAAGGAGTTTATAAAGTAGTTTCAGTAGGAATGTGTATTTTCATTTTTCCTCTTCTTACCTCGCCTTTTTACCCAGTGGCCTGAGTGCATCTGTTAATCAGAAGGAGTATTACCATAGGGCAAACTTTGATTTCTTGATTTTGCGTTGCCTTTTCTTTTCTTGCGACGTTTCTTCCTATTTTTCCAAAAACTCATGCCTGTGGCTCTGAGTGACATTTTAGCCAACCTCCTCACAGATAAGAGGGTTCTCTCTCCCCTTCTTTGACTTGAAAGAAAAGCACAAGGCCCAACCTGTTTATCAAGAGGAAAAGTGACTTCTCAGTAGACTGTCAAACTCTGGCTTCTGGCCCGGTATTCACTTTGTTATGGCAGGTGAAGTTCACCTTTGCCCCACCCAGTGTTTCCACAAAAAGGCCAGGTTCCAAGTATTCATATGAGCAAGTGTTACTTGTGGACTTGGAGGCTTGGGGGTGGAGGATGTTTGCATAGTTGAAGCCTTGGGCGGGGGTGTCAGAAACGGCAAGTACAGGGGCCATAGAAAAGTGGAGACTCGGTGGTTTGACGTACTCAGTCGGCTTGGTCTTCTACCCAGTGACTCAAAGCATTCAAAGTCAGCATAATCAGAACTGAAGTTGGTAGCGTCGCCCATTTGCCATTCTTTGCTCTGGCAAAAGTAGTACTCTGCGGTAGTTTAACCCGTCTGAAGCAGCTCCTTAAATGAAATCTTGTGTTTCATTCTTCTGTTGTTTTCCCCCACACGTGAAAAGACCATAAAACTGAAATGGAAAAGGTAACTGACAAAATGTGCCTTACCTGTTTCCGCCCTCATTTCTGCTGATTCAAGACTACTCTGGCTAAACCGATTTGGTTCTTTTTCTAGCTAGGCAACAGGGGACCAGAAATCACACAGGGTACTTGCCGTGTTTATTCTTCGAGGTGCCGTGGAAGCTTTCCATTGCTTTGGGTCTGGCTTTCTTTTACACGTGTGTCTTCTCTTTGGGACAGATCTATTCCAGAGGGGAGCTTCACCACTTCATCGACGGCTTTAAGGAGGAGAAGAGCAACTGGATGCGCTATGTGAATCCGGCGCACTCTGCCCGGGAGCAAAACCTGGCTGCGTGTCAGAACGGAATGAACATCTACTTCTACACCATTAAGCCTATTCCTGCCAACCAGGAGCTTCTTGTGTGGTATTGCCGGGACTTTGCGGAAAGGCTTCACTACCCTTATCCCGGAGAGCTGACAATGATGAATCTCAGTAAGTGGATTACAGAACAAAAAAATAAAAAATGCCAGCAATGTCAGTTCTGCCCCTATGAGCTAATAACATGTTGTTTAATTATATGGCTTCATCTGTTTAGGCCAAGTAGGTGGCTTAAACTAGGGACTAGGAAGAGGAAAAAAATTTTTTAGTCCCTATTCCCTATTAGGAAACTTGATCATTTAAAAAATCTTAAGAGCTACTCTGAGTATTTAATTCAGAAAGTTAAAGGAAGGAAATAAACGTCCAATTCTAATCTTTTCAAAAGGGGGCAGGGAGGGGTATAATGGAGATTGGTCCTGACACGCCAAGTATGCAAGCACTGCCGCGTGTACCACAGACTGCCTGGTTTGTGGTAATTTGCTGGTGCTTAAAATGTGCATTGAAATAATGTAGACATGCACATTTGGTTATCAAGTTATAGTCTGATGTGGAACATGTGAGATTGTTTCTAGAAAAACTCACAGCTATAATTTTTTCAAATATTATTCTAAATGGGTAACTCTAAAGATTTTCTATCTTAGCTTCCTTCCTTATGGTAAAAACCTAATCATCTGATCTCCTGATCAGTATTACAATAGCCGCCTATCAGTTTATCTTCACAAATTCTCAGTTTCTTAGGTTTATAACCTTTTACTTTTTTATTTGGTTAAAGTTGCTATCATGACCTCATTGCAAAGGGCTACTTTATTTTAGTCATTCTCGAGTGATCTCCATGAATGACTTAAGAATTACCAGAAAATTCCAACCTGTTGTAACTATGGTTGTGTGTTCTCAGACTACTAAGTTTTAAAGCAATTTTAAACCTTAGCTCCTTTTGGTTTAAAAGTTTCAGCACTGAAATGCTGAAGTTTTTTGTAACTGTTTTGATATCATTTCAAACTTGAGAAGTTGCAAGAATAGTGCAAAGAATTCCTACATAGTCTTTACCCAGATTCATCCATCGTTGACATGTGGTCCCATTGGCTTTATCTGAAGGCTAAATTGTTTTAGGTCACAGATCACCTTTCAGACATTTGGAATGAATGTTAATATTAACATAAATTAGAATTTTGATTTAAACTTTAGGACAGGTTAACAAACCAGTTCCTTATCCTCGTTGGGTATAAGCCAACCCTATGGCTACTTGGCGCTCGTCCCACACTACCTAGGTCTCCCTGTGACCTCGAGACTGTGTTTGTAGTTCTCTGAAAAGCTGGGGCTATTTATGAAAGCTTAAGGAGCTCCCCCATAGAATCACCTTTTAAATTTGTGTTCAAGCTCCTTAGACACACACACACACAGTGCACCCTTGAGCGTCAGGAAGAAGTCTTAGAATATTTGGAGACAAACTGTCTTCCAACATGAGCACGCTGGGTATGATCAGGCCCTGGCCAAACGTGGTGGTTCCTTTCCCTCATCTCTTCAGTGCTCCCGAGAGTCTAGGTCATTCATATCCCTAGTTCCAGGCATCCCAGAAGCCCTTCAGCTGTTTCACCATCTGGATGTGCCAGGCCCGGTGCTGAGGGCCTGGTGGTGAAAGACAACTTATCTTCCAACGGGGCATCCCGCAGGAAGATGTGCTGCTCCCTCCTGACTTTCTCAGCACTGCAACTCACTTCCTCTGGAGGGTCTCCTCACGTTCCTTCAGCTTAATCATTCACAGCTTCAGAGAAAGTCTTTGATTTTTTTTTTTTTTTTTTTGTAAGCAGTAGCTCCACTTGAGGTGACCCATCTCAGTGACTTTGCACCAACCACGGAGCTTTTTGTATACTCCCTCCCTCTCTGCCAATCAGAGAAAGATTTTAAAGGCCTTGCCTTTTCCTCCAACAAAAGGCTTTGCACAATATTTTAAGATTTGAGTGCTTGTGCTTTGTGTTCAGAAGCCACTTTCATGTCTACTGTTCAGTGACACCTTTGTTCCCTCAAATAGCCCTTTTTGTTTATGCAGAATTTTTTCTAAATGGTGGTTTAACGTTTTTTGGGACTTTCATTGTCTGGTTTTCCTAGTAAAGAATGAGAGTTAACAATAACCAGTCACATTTAAGCCAACACTCCTGCTGCCGATTGTGAAACCAGTTGTCTTAGGTGTGGTAACTGATGATTGAGACTCCGATCAGGAAAATTTCCACTATTTCATCAGGCCTAATAGGTAGATTGTGTCTTCCAGTGAGTTGTGTTAGGTTTCTGCGCTTCAAGCACAACCGAGTTCTGTGCCAGAGTCTCCGTGGGCACTTCTAATGGCCATGATGGTTCAGTCGGTAGAGTTTGAGGACAGATTCAGAGCAAACTGAGGCCAAGGAAAATAACTAGCCAGAAATCACAAATTGGCATTTTTTTAAACAAAAGAAAAGGAGTAAGATCTATTAAGTTTGACTGCTACCCCACCAAGTTTTTTGGTATTTTTTTTTTCCTATCTATCTAACTAGCCCATCTAGAAAACAGTTGACCAAATTATAGACTTCTAAATGTTAATCTGCTTTCTCAGTTTCAGTTGAAAACAGACTTTGTTTTGCCTACTGCAGAACTTCTAGGTTCTTTCTTGTAGTCTTGGGGGTTCTTATTATAGATCGAAAATGTGAGTCGGCATAATTAAGCCATTCAGAGCCTTCAGAAGCAGTTCACTCTTGAAATGACTCCGTCCGCCTACAGCCATTTAAGATTTAAGAACAAAAACAGATCTTGATTTTCTTTTTCATGTTAACTCAAGCTGCTGCTGAGTGGGAGAGTCAGAAATGACACCAGCTCCGCTGATTAGTCAGCTGCTGAAGGAGGATTTTTTAAAATGTGCCTTCATATAGACTCCATGATTTCCACCTCAGAACATCTTAGTGGGGCTAGCGTTTCCCCCAGATAGTGTCTTGGAAGAAGATATAAATTTATTTTTAGGAAGGCGTGAGAGAGAGCAAACATGTATTGTGGGTTTCCTATATATCGGGCACTGTGCTAAATAAATACTTTGCATAGAAAATTGTAAATTCCGGCTTTCTTGCTTCTTGGCCTAATCGTTAGCTTTGTTTCAGTTCAATAATCGAATTATCGAGGTGCTTAGTAGGGACACTTGACTAAAGAGAGGGGGGACAGTGCTGTGGATGGACTTAAACTTTTTCCTTATGGCTTTCATTTGTTGAATTTTAGAACTAAGGGAGTATTGAAGCCACAGGAAAAGTTATGAGACTTCAATGTAATTTGCCACATAAAAATGGCAGAAAGTTATGACGGTGAAGTTTCTGTATTTTCATTTTATTAGGGAGATGTCTTTTTTTTTTTTTTTTTTTTTTAACGTGGGCCTCTGTGGATGTCTCCAAATCATTCTTTTTCACCTCCATAAAATTCCTTCCTCTGGCTGTGAGATGCCTTGCCTATCATTTTCCAACTCAGTTTCTCTCTCTTTACCATTTCAGCTTTAAAAAACAAAAGTGACAATTTGAACTTCCTGCCTGCTGGGCCTCACTGAAAGACTGATATTGGCCTGATAAGGGGGTATTTATTTTGGTTTAGTGGCTTCAGAAATCCCTCTCCCTCAACAAGCTTTCCATCACTGCCCCCATCGGCATCTTCCCTGATAGCATCCGGGCCCTGTTTATTCTGGGGCTGCTGGCTCACCCAGGAGTAACTGATAACAGCAAGCAGGAGATAACATTCTCTGCGGGGCTCTCAAACTGGAATCGAATCTCTCAAGCCTGTCAGCCTAGAGAATAGATTTGAAGAGTTCAGAATCTGGAGTTCCACAGGGTTCATTTCTAGACCTATCAGATATCAAGCCTGGAGTTCTTTCTCAGTTTAATCAAACAGGGACTTTTTTTTTCTTAAGACGACAGATGGTACTTTTACAGAGGCTTCAGCATGGTCTCCCAAACCTGTCCTCTTCTAATGCTGTGGCCAAGACCTCTCCTGCCTCTCAGGGCATCCGTACACACAGATGGGGATGCATTCAACCTGCTCCTCCTCCTCGGGCAGGCTTGCAGTACCTGCCCTCCAATAACCACGGCTCCGTCCAAGCAGGCTGTATTTTGCTTTTGATTGCCAGGGCAGGCTGAGCCGGGATTTTTGGGCTTTCCCTGCTCTGACGGGTGTTTTCCTGAAGGCATCGTTTGGTCTGGGTGTTTGCAGAGGCAGGGCTGGCAATGGCCTGGAGAGCCTGGAACTCTCCTCCTCTTTGCTGCTGTTCCTAAATAGTATACTTACCAAGTAATAATATGCCATCTTTTGGAATAAATGCTTTCATCTTCGCTGCCTGTTTTCTTTGGTGCTCTAAGTAATTGAACTGGCTTGGGAAGGGCCTGTTGTGGTTTGGCACGGATGACTGTGTCACGCCTTATGATTCCAGGGGACAGCATTGCTGGGAGCCTGGTTAGAACAGACAAAGCCTTGATGAAATTCTCATGTTGTCAGCAAATCAGGGGGAAGGGGTAGCATCCACGTTGCTAATCTATTTGGCACAGGCAGTTTGAATAGGCTTTTATCAAATTCGTATTAAACAAGAATCAAGGCGAAAATTGATGACTGCTTGTTACTTGAAATGAGTCTTAATCTTTCACATCTAGCTCGCAGAGTGCTAATTTCCTTTAGGTAAACTGTGAACATCAGAATGACTTTTATGAACCTATGACACCCCCCACCCCACTATTTTTCCACCTCCTTTTAATGGAAGTGCTCCTGTTGTGGCTTGAACAGCACTTTTCTATCATAAGGTTTTTACCAGCGGAAACGAAAGAGTCCAAATAGGGCTATTTGTTCGATCGACGCTGTCATTGTCCCCGTTTCACTGAGAAGCAAATGGAGCTGCGTTTTGGACTGAGTGGCCCCGAGCCCTCTAGAATGAGGGGCTGGTGAGAAGCCAGGTGTCTCTTGCTTGTGGCCAGCTGGGGCCTAAGTTTTGCCCGGAGTGAGCAAGATAGGCAATTTCACTTCAGTTCTCTCCGCCCCTCTGAGTAACCACCCTTCTTTCTTTCAGCACAAACACAGAGCCATCCTAAGCAGCAGAGCACTGAGAAGAATGAACTTTGCCCAAAGAGTGTCCCAAAGAGAGAGTACAGCGTGAAAGAGATCCTCAAACTGGACTCCAACCCTTCCAAAGGAAAGGACTTCTACCGTTCGAACATTTCACCCTTCACTTCAGAAAAGGACACGGACGACTTCAGGAAAAACGGGAGCCCCGAGGTGCCCTTCTACCCACGGGTGGTCTACCCGATCCGGGCCCCTCTGCCTGAAGACTTTTTGAAAGCTTCCCTGGCCTATGGGATGGAGAGGCCAACTTACATCACTCACTCACCCATTCCGTCCTCCACAACACCGAGTCCGTCAGCGAGAAGTAGCCCCGACCAGAGCCTCAAAAGCTCCAGCCCCCACAGCAGCCCAGGGACCACGGTGTCGCCCCTGGCTCCTGGCTTCCAGGAGCCCCGGGACTCTTACAGCTACTTGAACGCTCCCTATGGCACCGAAGGTCTGGGCTCTTACCCTGGCTACGCGCCTCCTCCCCACCTCTCATCAGCCTTCATCCCCTCCTACAATGCTCCCTACCCCAAGTTCCTCTTACCCCCCTATGGCATGAATTGCAATGGCCTGAGCACCGTGGGCAACATCAACAGCATCAACAACTTTGGCCTCTTCCCAAGGCTGTACCCTGTCTACAGTAACTTCCTCGGGGGAGGCAGCCTGCCTCACCCCATGCTCAACCCAGCCTCGCTCCCGAGCTCGCTGCCCTCTGAAGGAGCCCGGAGGTTGCTTCAGCCCGAGCATCCCCGAGAGGTGCTTGTCCCGGCGCCCCACAGTGCCTTCTCCCTCACTGGGGCCGCCGCCAGCATGAAGGACAAGGCGTGCAGCCCCACCAGTGGGTCCCCGACTGCGGGCACAGCTGCCACGTCGGAGCACGTGGTGCAGCCCAAAGCTACCTCAGTGGCGATGGCAGCCCCCAGCAGTGATGAAGCCATGAATCTCATTAAAAACAAGAGAAACATGACTGGCTACAAGACACTTCCCTACCCCCTGAAGAAGCAGAATGGCAAGATTAAGTATGAATGCAACGTCTGTGCCAAGACTTTCGGCCAGCTCTCGAATCTGAAGGTAGGCCTCGAAATAGAGCAGTCCAATTGTCTGCCAGGCCCTGTACCAGTGAGTGTAGATACATGTGGTATTTAGCTTCCTTTCCACAGGTTATAAATTGCATTTTCAACGGCATGAGACCCAGGCTGGGACTAGTCAGTGTGGCTTTTACTTTCCTTTTGCCACTTCTGGCTATGTGGCTTGGGACAAGTTAGTTGTTTTCCCCTGAGTTTCTTCTGGATAAAAAAATCATGGGGCTAGAAAATCAGTTGAAAGTCCCTGCTAGCCAGTGACTTTTGTTCCTTCAGCTCAAACTAAACAAAGTGTTCTGTTTAAGACTTTGTCTGGATGCTTTTCTTAAGATGTTTGCATCATAAGTGCCTGAGTCCTTGAACAGAAATGGTCGGGCTCCCAGCCGACTGAGAGCAGAGCTAACGTGTGTGGCTTCCTTCCAGGTCCACCTCAGAGTGCACAGCGGAGAACGGCCGTTCAAATGTCAGACTTGCAACAAGGGCTTTACTCAGCTCGCCCACCTACAGAAACACTACCTGGTACACACGGGAGAAAAGCCGCATGAGTGCCAGGTGGGCCGTGTTTTCTGGGTAGAACCCTTGACCTTTGTAGAAAATGTCTGAGGAGTTGCTCTCCCGTGTCATGTAGCTCATAGCTGAAACCAGAGCAAGGATCCTGCCCTCCCACAGGCTGACAGCCCTGTCCCTGCTCATGAACTGAGATAATGACACAGCCATCTTCCAGTGGGTGGAAAATGGTAGGGGAAATAAACAGCACCTCGTGCTCTGTGTGCCCACGTCGCCTTGTTTGCTTAAGGCCACACCATAGGTGCCACAGGGAGGCGTCTCGTGTCCCTCGTTGCTGGGCGTTGGTTGGCAAGCTTGCCCCTCCCATTGGCATCTCTTAATCTTCTGGTCTTCCCATCTCCCTCCTTTGCCCCGTTTCCCCATATGTAGGTTTGCCACAAGCGATTCAGCAGCACCAGCAATCTCAAGACCCACCTGCGGCTTCACTCGGGAGAGAAACCTTACCAGTGCAAGGTGTGCCCTGCCAAGTTCACCCAGTTTGTGCACCTGAAACTCCACAAGCGCCTCCACACCCGGGAGCGACCCCACAAGTGTGCCCATTGCCACAAGAGCTACATCCATCTCTGCAGCCTCAAGGTGCACCTAAAGGGGAACTGCCCTGTGGCCCCGGCCGCGGGGCTGCCTTTGGAAGACCTGACCCGGATCAACGAAGAGATCGAAAAGTTTGACCTCAGTGATAATGCCGACCGGCTCGAGGACATGGAGGACAACATCGATGTGACCTCTGTGGTGGAGAAAGAGATTCTGGCTGTGGTCAGAAAAGAGAAAGAAGAAACTGGCCTGAAAGTATCTTTGCAAAGAAACATGGGGAATGGCCTCCTCTCGGGGTGTGGCCTTTATGAGTCATCAGACCCGTCCCTCATGAAGTTGCCTCACAGCAACCCACTACCTCTGGGACCTGTAAAGGTCAAACAAGAAACAGTCGAACCAATGGATCCTTAAGATTTTCGGAAAACAAAAAGTGTTTTGTTTTGTTTCTTAACTTATGACTTGGCAAGTCAGGGTGCCTATGGCAAATGCTTGTACATAATTCCGGTTCTGCACAGCTCTCCTGATGGCAGACGGTGTCCCCTCACCTCTCTGGAATTAAAGAAGGAACTCCAAAGTTACTGAAATCTCAGGGCAAAAATGAGGCAAAGACAATATATATACATATTATATATACTTATTTACATCCCCATCTATATATTTGAACCTGTGTATTTTGAATATTTGTGTGGATATTTTGCATAGCCTTCCCATTGCTAAGACTATTGCCTAGCCATAATTATTTTTTCAATGATAATCCTTCATAATTTATTATACTATCTATCATTCAAAAAGCAATAATTAAAAAAGTTTACAATGACTGGAACAATTCCTTGTAATTTGAGTATAAATGTTATATTTTTGTCTTGTGGCCATTCTTTGTAGATAATTTCTGCACATCTGTGTGAGTACCTAAGAGTTAGTGAACAAATACATTACTTCAGTCCACCTCCCTCTCTGATAATGCTTTGAAAACGAGGTGTTGGTATGGCCAGAGTTAGACAGTTGATGTATTAATTCGTAGGACTGTAATATATGAACAGCATTGTATAATTTGGGGGTATGTGTGAATTACCCAATAATAACTTTAGTAGAAGAAACAAGAAAGGGACTCTTGTATGTTTCTGTAGATAGTTGAGATTTTTTTTTTTCCCAGCCACAGATTTACCAGAAAGGTGACAAGAAGGCTTTGCCAACCTGTCTTCCTCTCCAAAAAGCAGGGCCACCCCCCTCCCAAAGTCATGTGACCATCCAGGGCGGTCATGGACTTTTGCATCCCAATGTATTATCTGAAAATGTGAAGAAGACAAAATGCCATGTTGAAAATCACTGAGAAATGTTCCCAAAGCACAGGTGTCATTGTATGTGTGAGGTTCGGGAGCTTGAATCTGGGTGTTGTTTTTGTTGTTGGTTTCTTGTTGTTGTGTCAAAGTTGCACAAACATGGTGCTTTACCAGGAAGGATTGAGGTAGATAGGCCCAGGCCACACTTTAAAAACAAAAAAAAACGAAAAACGGGTATTCTCGTTGTCTTAGGGTCAAAGCGGGTAACGAACATTCCTATCCCCAACACATCAATTGTATTTTTTTCTGTAAAACTCAAATTTTCCTCAGTATTTGTGTTTTTGCATTTTATGGTTAATTTAATTGAAGACGAGAGGGCATTGCAAAGGTGTTCAACAACAATTACCTCATTAAGTGTGTCCAGTAGTGCAGGAAATGATGTCTTACCTAATGATTTGCTACTAGAGGAAAGTAAGTGTGCTCCAGAAAGACAGAATGGGTCCCATTCTATCTTTTACTCTGCTAAGCCCAAAGATGACCTGTCAGCATTCAAGGTGTAGCAAAGAATGATGTATATTTATAAATCTATTTATACCACTATACCGTGTATATATATAATATATTTATAACCACTTAAATTGTGAGCCAAACCATGTAAAAGAACCTACTTTTTCTAAGGAAAAAAAAATCGAACCCTTTCTGAGACTTTGCTTAACGCTCAATGACCTCACAATCACATTGGGGAGCTTGGGCACCCCCTTGCTGGTGTAAGAGACCCCAAAACCTTGTTGCAAAAGTGGGGACCGCGTAACAACCAGGGAGAAAGAGATCCGTTGCTTTTTCCTATTAAAGACGATCTAAGATGGCTTTATTTTTGTCTTGCCACATTATGATTATGTGTCCCACCCAACTCACAGGAATAAAAATCCCAGTATTACTCCCTTAACCACTGTAGCTTTTCTCTCTCCCTCTCCCTCCTGCGCACGTCACTGACCAATCACTAATCAGCGTGGTTCATAGAGTCAGCATTTTGTTCTTGGCGACTCAGGTCAACCTGCAGAAAAGAACAAACAAATTTAGGATAACCCAGGGAAACCTAAGAGCCTTACCAATCTGTAAGTTGCAAAACTGACAATTTTTTACGTATCGGTGTTTGACAAACGCAGTCCTTAATTGTAGGTGAACCAAAGCAACACACACTGACACGGACACCAAATACTTTCTATTCTCAGCCACTCGTTTGTTCTCTTTTCTCCCTTGCGGGCTTTCTTACGTGTGGGAATTCCTACCAAGACCTGCACAGTGGCTCGAAACCTGCCTCTCTTTATCCTCTGACTTTCCCTCATAGGCCTCTTACATGTGAACTTTGAGCCCACAATTAACAGTGGTTTTGTTTTTTTTTCTTCTACTCAAAGTTAAAACTGACCAAAGTTACTGGCTTTTTACTTTGCTAGAACAACAAACTATCTTATGTTTACATACTGGTTTACATTGTTATTTATGTGCAAATTGTCAAAATGTAAATTAAATATAAATGTTCATGCTTTACCAATGCTTGTCTAGTGTCTTGAGTGAAGGGCCAGTGAGCGACATCTTAACCACACCGAGAGGGTGGCCCCAGAACCAATTTTGAAGGTGACACAATTTGCCTCTTTCCCACCTCGCCCACCCCCCAGTGATGACTCCTTCATCTCCCACCTCCATCGGGGACTACACTTGGGAGTGGTCTAAAGAGTTGATCTGTTGTCTCTGTCATAACAGCATAAGATTTTTCTTTAATCATGAAGTGTTCTCTAAGGAAATATTCCAAGATGGGGAAGATTTGTTTACTTTTGTTGGACTTTTGTTTGTTTTACTTAGTTGGGCCTGGGGTGGCGGGAAGGTTAGGAAGACTTGAATCAATTCCAGAAATGCCTTCCTATGGGGCACTGTGTGCCAGTGTGTGTGTGTGTGTGTGTGTGTGTGTGTGTAGACTGAGTCTGCTCAGGGGTGAGGGGCCTTGGGGAAGCCCTGGGAAGCTGAGGCGAGGAAGACTGCCCATTAGTGACAGCGTTTTCGCTTCAATAGCAAGCGCTGAACGCGCCACAGGGAATAAGATCTTTTGTGCTTCTGCACAGTCTTCCTGCCTGACATCCCTTGGTAGTTTTTTTCCTTCACGTCTTGACCCGGAAAGTAGATACGCTACTTGTTCATTTAAAATGAATTTCAAGAAAGCTTCTATTTTACCAGAATCTGGGCATTGTTAGTGCGAAACCCAGGGGTCACGGTGGTCTTGCTGTGCAGTCCCGATGGTCATGTGGTGAGAATGGGTCTACTTTCTTGTCCGCTGATGCTCAAGCAGAAACTGTTCGAGCAGAAACCTGTCTCCAGACACAAATAAATTTTGAGCCTCATTTGGCAGATGTGAGTAAGAGATGCTTCTAGAAAAGTGTCACTGCCCTCAACGAAAAAAATTAAAAAGCCCTTTGCAAATGGTTTTCGTACTTACCGTGTCATCCGTTACCAAGTTCGTTATTCCATGCCCCTCCTAACTGCAGTTAAGAAAATAATGCTCCTTCTTACATTCGGATACTCAAAACTGCCTGATTTTCTTTTTTAATGTTTTTTCTTTACATTCACTTAAACATCTGTGCCAAGAATTTGAAATGTTGCCAACATATAACTGTGGAGTTAAGAAAACCAGAACCTTATTGTCATAAACGTGCCAAATGGTGCTGGTTGTACTACTAAATTCTACAGAACCATTATGGTAATAATTTTTCAAAACAAAGCCCGATAAGATCCAGAGTGTAACCGTTACTGCCATAAATCATGGTTCTTTATTTGGCAAAGCATATCTTTTTTTCTTGAGAGTTATATATCTTGGGAACACTTGTGGTCTTAGCTGTTTAATGAAACGTTACATCAAAAGATAATATTCACTGGGAGTTCAAGCTGACATCCATGCTGTTGGATCCAGGCTTCATGCTGCTGTTTGTAAGGCAAGGCGAGACCGAAGACATCATGTTTTTCTGAGTTTCTCCTTAGAATAAAAGCTCTGTTCAGAAATGATGCATTCAATTCTCCACCATAAGGGAGTGTACAGAATATACGGTTCCATGGGAGTTTATGGGCAAATTTCTAGATTTTTTTTCCATTAGGGGACAGGAAACCAATTTAGTACCCATAAGTTTAAGTGAGTTTATTTCTTCGTGTGTGTGTGTGTGTGTGTGTGTGTGTGTGTGTGTGTGTGTGTGTGTGAAGCCTTCTTTAAAAGGAGATAATGGGAAAAGGCCAGAGCAGAGAAATGAAAGTAATTAGAGGCACATGGTGGAGAATTTCTAATGTAAAACCAGGCCTCTAGGATAATCTGATCTAGAAAGGAAGGCTGTGCCACAGGGGGGTGGCAGCTAAAAGAATTAATAAATGGGAGAGAAGTTACATAGAATGTGATCACTGAACCAATCCAGAAGACACTGCTATTTCCTTTAGGAGAACATGGAGCTCTTTGTCCATTTCATTATCAACTTCTGGCCAGAAGAAATCAGGTCATTCTGGGCACGGCTACCTCTCGAGTCCACTTCTGGGTGTCCTGCAGCTGCAGGAAATGTTTCAGGACTCAAGGATAAGCCTTCTATCACACCCTTTTTCAGGCTTCAAGTCCTCAGAACCCCCACGTCCATTTGCTCAAAGTGATGCTGACAGCAGCTCCTTAAATAACTGAGAAGTGATTTTAATCTCAATACTGTCTTAATCGTGTAATTTAGGCCAAAAACACAGCAAGATTCCAAAAAGTTATTTTTAACCTGATTTATGCAAATAGTCTCCATGCCCAGTTTCACAGAATACCATCAACTAACACACTGTCTCCTAGTTTGTTCTTCCTTCCAAGTTCGACAAGCAGTGAACCAGAGTTGGCCATGTACACATTTCTTTCTCTCTGAATTTAAGATAGAAGCTTTTATTTAGCATACATGTGAATGTAGTCACCTTGTCGTTTTCTCCTACCCTCATCAAGAAAGAAAGAGGAAGTGACAGATAAGTGCCAATGGGTAATTTTGGTAAGAAATTCTTCAGTGTGTTAACAAAAGGCAGTTGTCTCATGGAATTGTGGCAAAACGATTTTAGGTATCTTAAGGATTCACCTGGGGATGATAGCAACCAGCTGTTCTCCCCTGCAGTGAAGAGCAAAGCGAAGGAAATGAAATTAAACCATACCAGAAGGAACTTTGGTTTAAATCACAAAGGCTAACACCTACCTTTAGGGTTTGTAACGCAATGGGTTCCTTTCTACAGGAAGGAGGGAGCTAAGTCTCCTTCCTGGGAGGGTTTAGAGAAGACTCAGCTTGTTTGAAAGCACAGGATGTACAAGACGTTCTGGCAAGCCCTTCCTAAGTCTGTAATTCAAAGATTTCTATCAACCTTAGAAATGATCAAGCACGTGGGGACAAGATAGATAAAAGGCTTCAGTAGAGAACTTGAATTTTCTTAATGTTCCTGAGGCCTCCTAGGAAACTATGTGTATACGTGGAAGACATCTGGAGAGCTTGTCTAATTCTAAGGAAGAGTCCGTGATACCATGAAATGAAGTGTACTGTATATTTTGTAAAATATTTGAACATATATTCCATATTTGAGTTCTTCCCAGGTATCCCAAAGCGGGATGGAAAATGAGACATGGTACCACTGTCACCTAGCACCTGGCACTCTGCTAAGCTACCTCCAGGCTAGCAGCCTTTCAAGGTAGTTACTCCTTGGGAGTGAAGGGACCATCTCCACGTTCCCTCTTCCCATCAGCGTGGTTTCCCTTGAGTTCTGTGTCCCATACACACAGGCAAAGGAAGTGGGACACAGCCTCATCCCCTTCCACGTCACCCTTTCTTGCCTCCCCACTTTTAGTATAAATAACCTGATAGTAATTTGCTATGAGACCACTCCACTAAGGAGCATGAATGGGGTGATTGAACTCCTTCTTCAGTGGCTCCCTGGACCAGAGTCTGGAAATACACCCAAGCTAGGAACTGAGGTTATGAGCTCCTGATCTGGTGGAAAGAGCAGTGACCCAGGGATTTAGAACTTATTTCCAGTCCTGGTTCAGCCCCTAGCAAACTGTGTGGTCTCAAGAGAGTCCCGGAACTTCCCTGGGCCTCCGGTTTCCTGATCCATAAAATGAAGGAGTCCTTCCTGGGCTATCTTTCCACTCTTTCGGAAGTATTACATCTCTTCACGTGCTAAGATTCCATCGTTTTCTCTTATTTCCTTTTGGTTTGTTTTCCTTGGAACTCTGACTGTTGCTATAGGCAGATATTTGTAATTTAGAGAGCAGATGTCAAAGAAAATGGAAATGAGGGGCAGGCTTATATGGAAACAACTATTGTGGCTTCTTTTGGCAAAAGAGATTGGACTCACAGAGGTCCTGCTAATTTGTGAGAACCATGAACTTTCCCCAGGAATTAATATGCTCATCTGAAAGGAATCAAGATTCTTTTAATGGAAATAATGGCTTGTGCTTAAATAAAACCTCTGCTAGAGTCAAGTACCGTGAATTCTAGGATGTTTAGTTTAGTGGGTTTTTGTTTTTTCTTCTTCGTCCTTTTTTTTTTTTTTTTCAAGGAAAGGCATGCTTGTAATAAGACTGGGAAAGATTTAAGTTTGTGGCCACAAAAAAAGGCAAGAAGGACAAAAATACCGGCAGCTCAAGAAGAGAATGAGAACCCGATGAAGAGAACCCAAGAAGACGTTGAAAGGAAACATTCTGGTTAGCAAAGCAGTCGAGGCCCCGATGCTGTTTTAACGGTTCAAGGTTTAAAAAAGGGAATAAAGAAACATAAAGCAGAGAGAGGGTGGGGGAGAGAGAGAAAGGTTAAGCCAAGACAGAAACTGTGAGTAGATAGATGTGAAAGGGCCTGAAAATAAGTGAAAAGTGAAAAATTGCTTTATGAATAAACCGTTAAAAAATAGTGAGTGAAAAAGCAATTGTGCTTCCAGTTATTACTGAATCACAAGCTCGTGGAAGCCAGAGGCTGACCTGAGCCACGGCTCCGTGCTTAACCTACATCGCAGCAGTTGGTGCAGGGCCGTTCCTGTGGGCGGACACAGTTTTCTACTTGAGTGTCAGTTTCATTGTGGTTGTGCTCCTTCACAGACACATGTGGGCCATTTTACCGCCTTGAGCACAAAAAACATGACTTGGTCATCTCTCCAACCTGCTGACGCTACAAGGCAGGTGACATCCTTCGGAGGACACACAGGGCACGGACAAGCCAAGAAGTTAAGGTCAGGGGATGGTGAACAAACCTTCTGACAGAAGGAGAAGCCAGGAAGTTAATGAGGCCTGAAGCCCCAGCCAGCCTCTGCCTTTTTCTGAGTATGAGAATGTGATTTCCTACCCGGGGCTCCTCGTCATTCTGGCGGTGTGTTCCCACAGGGACACAGTGGCCCTCTCACTGATGTCTCCTGTGCCAAGAGTCAATAGAATCCCCTTCTCAGGAACGCGTCTGGGCTCAGGCTAGCAAATGAAATGCCAATCATAGCAGGACTGCCTCTAGTCCTTGCATACTTGAGGACGGCCTG